ACAGGCGAATGTGTGTGGTTTGGTTTATTTATGTGAACTCAGACACCTTTCGCTCGCTGTGTTCGCATTTGCCGAATGTCATGTACCAGCTGAGTCTCAATGACATCGTGCAGCTGCTCTTTGCACTGGACAGAGTCGACCACATCGACAGGACAGTGTGCAGGTACACAAACAGGCAGACAGCCACCAGCCACTGCAAATGTGTTCGTGCCTCTGTCGGTGGTGTATGCAGGCGTGTGTCGCGCAAAGTGGCCGCCCGTCTGAGCCATCCTGAGACCAAGACACAAGTGGAAGCAGCCACCATCGCCGGCCTGGCGGCTGCTTTCGCCCTGCACCAGTACCGCAGCCATCCGCTCTATCGGCTGATCGCCCGGCGAGCCGTCATGCTGGCCGATGAGTTCGACACGCCATCGCTGGGCCGGCTCTTCCTGAGAGAGATTGCTGAGGTCGTCGCGTGTGACATCCAGCCGATTCAGAACCTGCGCGTGTCCGCCATGGTAGCTGACTTCTGCCAGAAATACCAACCCACCATTACCGGTGAGCGCATCAGTGCGTTCCCCTCTCAACCAAGACACATCGGCAGCCGGCCCTCTCTCTCTCTCTCCCTCTCTCTCTCTCTCTCTCTCTGTGTGTGTGTGTGTGTGTGTGCAGCAAGGCGTGTGTGTGGCCGTGGCGCACACCACACCACACCACACGACACGTGTGGGATCGATCGGAGGGTGTGTGCGTGTGAGCGTGTGTATGTGTGGGTGCGTGTGATTAGGTAGGTGCCTGTCCTTCTTGTGTATTTTTTGTGTGTGTGTGTGTGTGTGTGGGTGGGTGGGTGCATCGCAAGCTATGTATGCACCCCCCACACACATTCATTTATTCAGCCCTGCACCGATCGATTCTCTCTCTCTGTGGGTGTGTCTGTCGTGCGAAGGCGAGGCCCGAATGGCCGAGGCGAGCGTGTCTGTCTGTCTTGAGTCTGTGTGTGTTCTCTGTGTGTGTGTGCATCACACACACACACACACGACCCCCACCCACCCACACACACACACATCCATCCCATCTGCCCCCTGCACTCATTCGATTGTCTCTCCCTCCCTCCCTCCCTCCCTCCCTCTCTGTGTGTGTGTGTCACTCAGGCGAAGGCGAGGCCCGAAGGGCCGGGCGGAGCCAAGCCGAGCGAAACCTGCCTCGCCTGTGTCTGTCTAAGTGTGTGTGTGTGCCGCTGATGCGAAGGCGAGGCCCGAAGGGCCGAGCCTGAGCCTGTGTGTGTGTGTGTGTGTGCGTTCTCTGTGTGTGTGTGCATCGTATGGACCCCCCCTTGCACCCCCACTCACCCCTGCACGCACTGGTTGTCTCTCCCTCTCTCTATCTGTCCATGGCTTTTTTGCCAACTTGGCGATGCCGTGGAAGGACGAGTATTGACTGTATAGCTTATCTACAAGAAGTTCTGAAAACTGCCAACCAACATCGCCTCGCTATTCGCCCTTTCCACCAAATTGCACCTCTCACCCCTTCAACGCACTCACCCCATCGATACCCTCCCTGCCGCATACCCACTTCTCGCACACGCAAGGCCAGCCGCTCAAACTCCCCACACACACAGTCCATCACACCAGCAGTCATTTCCCGGCCTCCCAGCCCCACTTGCAATGAATGGGAAAAAGCCTCCACCTACTGACTGCAGGGTTTGGAACCCTGCGAGCTTAGACGTGCATTGATTGCGAGCCAGCTGGATCTTCCCCTGATCCTCGGCAGACGGACAGACCAACGACCTGCTGTCCCTCTTCCACTTGCGAGCTTGAAGCCAATCCCACCCTCCCAGAAATGCTGCCCATCTCCTGCAGGCTGCATCCTCCCCAGTTGCAGTTGGCAGCAGGAAGTGCCCCTGCGCCGCCGTCTTGTGTGAGAGGCTTGTCGCATCTGGATGTCCGCGCAGCCACGAGCGATGGGCCGCAGAGGAGCATCAGGTTCAAACTCAGACCTATCCGGTCAGCCCAGCAGGAAGAAAGGCCGAATGAATGAATAAAAGAATGATGGCACAGATCTTTGTGGGTTCTGTTGGTGCAGGCATGACTATCAGAACGTGTTGGTGAATGCTGATGTGCGCCACCTGGTGCAGACGGCGGAGAAGCTGCTGGTCGACGTGGGCACCAAGAAGAAACGGGCCTTCTGGGAGATCTTCTCGAAGCGCGCCAAGCTGTCGATGCACCTGCTGCAGCCACTCGACATGGCTATCATCGGCAGAGCATTCGATGAGCACGACAAGGACACAGGCAAGTCGACAGACAGCCCGGCAGACAGGGAGGGAGGGAGGGAGGGAGGATGAGAAAACGACTAGTATTGTCAGCATGCATTGATTGTCTGTTGCAAGCTGCCTGCAGGTGTGTTTCAGGAAATGGCGGCCATGATTCCCCTGCGGATCACTCGTTTCGACGGCCTGTCGCTCGTGGCCATGGCAGATCTGCTCAGCAGGAGGGCCAAGAAGGCCATGGGTACGAACCACAACTCAGGCACACACACACAGGCGAATGTGTGTGGTTTGGTTTATTTATGTGAACTCAGACACCTTTCGCTCGCTGTGTTCGCATTTGCCGAACGTCATGCACCAGCTGAGTCTCAATGACATCGTGCAGCTGCTCTTTGCACTGGACAGAGTCGACCACATCGACAGGACAGTGTGCAGGTACACAAACAGGCAGACAGCCATCAGCCACTGCAAATGTGCTCGTGCCTCTGTCGGTGGTGTATGCAGGCGTGTGTCGCGCAAAGTGGCCGCCCGTCTGAGCCATCCTGAGACCAAGACACAAGTGGAAGCAGCCACTATCGCCGGTCTGGCGGCTGCTTTCGCCCTGCATCAGTACCGCAGCCATCCGCTCTATCGGCTGATCGCCCGGCGAGCCGTCATGCTAGCCGATGAGTTCGACACGCCATCGCTGGGCCGGCTCTTCCACGCCTTCAACTCGCTGTCACTCGACAGCGTCGAGATGATCGAGGGCATGGAGGAAGTCCTCATCGAGAGGTACACACACACACACATCAGCTTCACGGGCAGGAAAGCGGCCAACCATCCTCCTGTGTGAGTGTGTGCAGGTTGCCTTTGTTCTCGCGCGAGGAGCTTTCTGCGATCAAGGAATATGTGGATGACAGCGAGGCCGGCGTGATGAATCTCCGCGATGCCCTCGACCAGGTCTGGGAGGTCACCACAGGCGAGAGGCCCAAGGAGCGGCCACCCAGACCGCCACCGGCAGAAGACGCCTTCGGGAGCTACGAGGATGTTGAGAGTGGCGGCGAGGAGGAGGAGGAGAGTGAGTTCGCTGAGGACGACTACAGGGGAGAGGAAGGGGCCGAGGACAAGTCACGAGAGCGTGACACTGACGAGAACGATGAGGAGAAGAGAGAGAGAGAGAGAGAGAGAAGGGATGATAGAGGCAGAGGCAGGCAGGCGTAGGTGCATGCCTGCCTGCCTGCCTGCTTGGCTTCGCTGGTTTTTGTGATGCCAGCTGTTGTCTGTTTGGAGTGCATGTGACTATGAAGATCTACCGTGCATGATTCGATTCAAATGAAGCATGTTCTACACGTACGTATGCGTGCCTCTCAACCCATCTTCAATGAATGTAGCCGCATTCCGTTAGCAGCGGCGAGGGTCTGCGAGCTCAGCGGAGGAGGGGAAACTCTTTTTTCGCCGCTGTTGCTGCTGTAGTACACTCCTTTCGGTAGATCCACTTTCAGGTAGTCGCATCTCGTCCGTCACGCAGGCCTGCTGAGCTGATCCACCCGAACAGAAGGACGAGTACCAAAAGCCCTCGTTTCTCTGTCAGCTGTTGCCTTGAGGACGGCCGCCCTGAGCCGGTGTGCTGGTGATGGAGCAGAAAGGCGATTCGAAAGCTGCCGGGGCTCGCCACGTTGACTCCCACAAGTCTCGCCCCGCCCGGAGGGGCATCTTTTTACGGTAGGGAAGCACATCTGTGGTCATTAATGGATCGCTGAGAGCACACGCACTGTGTTTTCCATGTTGTTCATCGTGTAGTTGTTCGTGGTCCACCTGTCGTCACCGTCAAGACCGAACCACAGGATGATCCCCCTCGACAGGAGCAGCAGCACCAGCACCAGCAGAGTGCGGCACCGGGCCGGACGAGCCACGAGGGCGGCGGTGACGGTGGCGGTGCCTTAGTCAAGGACGGGCGGGAAGACGTTGACATGAAGGGCAAGGGCGTTGACGAAGACTGGCAAGACGATGGTACGCAACGCACACACTCTCGGTGCTGACGGTCTTGGTAGCTCTCCGTCGCTCCCTCTGTGTGTGTGTGCAGATATGGGCGGCGTTGGCGGCTACTCCGGTGAGCAACACACGACACACACAGCACGCCACCGTATGAGCGTTCCAATGCATCGCCCTGTTCGTCCGTCTTTTCCTAGGCGATGAGGATGAGGACCGAGAGCTAGACGAGGACGATGGAGACAACGTGCATGACAGCAATGGTACACACACGGATACTCACCCAAGTGATACACACACACATATATATATATATATATGGACGGTGTCATTGTGTGCAGGTGTTCAGGAGGACAGACAGCGCTCCTGCTCCAAGACCGACCGACCATCACGTACCACACCCCCCAAGCAGGCACCTCCCCCCTCTCACCAAGCTCACCAAGCAATATGCCCTTGTCCCCCTTCAGCCAACCGGGGCCGCTTCCCCCGCCCCCCCACCGATCCCCACGAGATCAGCCTCCGTGATGCCTACGTCAAGAAGTGCACACGTGCATCGCCCACATACGATGACGTGTTCGATGGGCTGGCGGACATGGCCACATTCGAGCGCAGAAGGCCTGACGGCCGCCGGGAGTGGGTCAGTTTCAACGTCACTGTGGGGCCGGTCAACACCGATGGAGACCCCCAGGTCTTTTACATCCAGGCGGTGCTGACCCGCCCATGGTCCTTCCTCGAGCTGGCCAGCACGCTGCGCCGCATTCGCGACGGAGAGCTCGGCCGACCTGACCAAGCCACCCAACAAGACACACAGCTTAGCGATCGAAGAGGGCAAGAGGATACTCAAATGCCCGTCAGCTGTGGCCGCTGCTGCCGATGCTGCCGCTGCCGGTTCTGCTGGTGCTCCTGATGGGGATGACCGAGATGGCTTCTGGCATCGGTCGAGGAAGGGGCGCCGTCGTCGACCGAGGGGCTGCCGGGGAGGTGCTGACAAACGCCAGCGGGGCAGCAAGAGGGAGGCCGACAGAGATGGGCTGGCCGCACAGCAGCCAGAAGCCAAGAAACCTCGCGCGTCAGGTAATGTAATACGAGGGGGCACGGGTATGTACCTGGGTGTGTCAATGTGCACATGTCTCTATGGCCGTGGTTTGTGTGGTCAGGTTTGCCTTCGACGTCGTTTTGTCGTCTGGAGGCCGCGGCAGCTGCTGCAGCCGCCAGTGCGGGGGGCCATGTCGGTGGCGGCCGTCATCGGGACAACGGGTGGGACGTCAGGGCCCTCGACGAGCTGTCGTGGCAGGAGGTCGAGAGGGCTTTCCTGGCGGACACAGACGGCATCATTTGCAGCCTGGCCTCCACGATGAGCAAGGTCAGGGGGACAAGGACAGAGCAAGGTCAGGATGAGCCACGTCACGGATGGTTCCCTGTGTGTGTCTGTGTGGTGTGCAGCACAGGATGGGTGGTCGAGCTCTGCGTCGGCTGAGTGAGAGGGCCGAGGACAAGATGCTCGACGAAATGGACAAGCGACTGGGCATCGTGGCGTACGGCGAGCAGCTCCAGCTGCAGGAGTGGATCGAACGAGCTGTAAAGAAGGGGGTAAGCAGTGAAGGCGCACACAGACAAAGTGACTGGCGGTGTGTTCATGGCATGGTGTGATAGTGTGTTTGTGATCATATTTGTGTATCGATGCCCGGCTTTCCGTTTCCTTTTGGTCAGGTGCGTGTGCCAGCTGGCCGCGAGGGTCGCGTGGGCGTGGAGAGAAGGAAATAGAACACGGTGAGTGACAGACCGGTGAGTGCCTGACGAACGCTGACACAAACATCTTCGCGTCACCTCTCTCTTTGCTGTTCTTTCCATAGGCCGTTAGTTACTTGGCTGTTTGGTTCGATAGACCGCCATGCAGCGTCGCACACCAACAGTCTCGATCAGACAGGCCGATGCACTGCACCCACAGTGCGGCACCCACTGTCTGCACAGTGTGAGTGTGCCCTGCAGCTGACTCTTTCAACCGTGCTGCATGCGGGCCTTTGTGTGATGCGGTTTAAGGTCGTGTGGACTGACTCGTGATGGCTCACTGCATCCCTGGTCCATCAATTGTTTTTCGACTGACCCGATAGCTAGCTGCTTTGCTTGCTCTCTTCGATCCAAGTCTGTGTGCATACTTACACTACCTGTCTATCTGTCTGTGCGCATACTTACCAGACGCACATATACTGTGTATACATACACCCATACATATTCTCGCCCATTCACTCACTCAAGTGATTTGCAACAGACGCCGAACTCATCAGACCACACTCGCGGACCTAACGAAGGTCCTCTCGCGCGTCCGCCCTTCTGCATCAGAGACTTAGGCACAAAAGTACACACATGACAAATAACTAGCCCTCTCGATAAAAGTGCACTTCAGAAAGACACCCGGCATGCAGCCAGCTACCCGGCCGTTTCATCACTCACTCCAGCTCCGGGTACTTCCCCTGCGTGGTCTCAGTCAATCTATCTAAGTGCTTTTCTCGAAGATGATGGTGTCGTCGTTCATCCTGATAGTGTAGTGGTCTCTGAGCAGCCTGGTCGCCGCATGACGGTCGAGCGTGGCTTGCTCGTCGTTGAAGACCCAGCGCACCTCTCCCGCCAGCCCTCCAGAATTCAGCTGGGCGCATGCCGTGTGCACGCCGGGCCTGCGGATGAAGGCGACGAGCACCGCCGTCAGCGATGCGTAGAAATCCGCTGTCATACCAGGAGGTAGGTCACCTAGAAACATCCACCACATACCCAGTACATGAATGAGGCAAGACGTGTGTGTGCGCAGGCAGGTCTTACCCCACACATCTATCTTGACGTTCTTGATGGCCGGCAGGTCCTGCGTGGCCCACTCCTGCAGGGCATCGCTGTGGTCTAGGATGGTCTTGACCCTCTGTGGAATCGCCACTGACTCGAGCACTCTCTCCCCACGACCACCACCCTGGTCGCCAGCTGGCCCTTGAGGGCCTCGAAGAACGACACGGCCCGGCTAAGAGGTGCATCACCACCAGGGCCCCCGAAGCTAATGCAGCGGCATTGGGGCATCTTGGCGACGGTCCTGGCGAGGCCGTCGAGGGTCACCTGGGAGGGGGGGCCGCTGGTGAAGGTGAATGCGTGTGCGCGGGGGAAGTGTGTGGTGGTGGCGGTGGCGTTGGGGTCGGTCAGGACGCCGCCATCGTACTGCACCTTGGCCGCGGCCGCGGCATACGCACGAACGATCCTCTGCACCTGGTGCCATATGCACAAGCACAGAGACCTGCTGTGTGCATCGACGCCATTGGTGTGTCTGTCGCTCCATACCTGTGGCGACTCTGTGCTCATCCATCCGATAAGCTCGATGTCCATGATGAGGCCCGCGGACCGATCCCCAGTGACCGTCACGTTGTCGAGGGCATCTGGCCGCACCACCTCGTCCACCAGCTGTCCAATGTCACGCAGCACGCGCTGGTGGGTTCTTTCGGCGCGGGTGGGGAGGCGGATCTGCAGCTCGCGAAGGCTCTTGCGGCAGCCCCGCTCCACCAGAGTCTGACGCAGCTCGTCCACCGCCCGACTGTTGTCGAGCACAGGTCCAATGGGTCCGATAGTTTGCAGGCGGGAGAGGGAGCTGCCGTCCTTAGGGGCCTTGGACAAGAGGACCTGCTTCGTGTACAGGGACAGGTAAGCATGGAACTCCTCCAGATGAGGACGCGTGTGCTCATCCGCCCCCTCCTCCCCACCCATCCAGCTGTGCACGCCCTCCGAGACGCCACTCTGATCGTTGAAGAAGGTCAGCACGCGTAGGGACGGCGTCACCCACCCGCGACCACCACGTACAGCTGCGTATGAGTGGCCAATGTCGTGCACTCGCTGCAGCTGAGACAGCTTGATGGGTGAGGGGGAGGGAGACATTGGGTCGGCCAACCTCTCGGTGGCATCCGCCGACCTGTCCAGGTCAAACCAATTGCCGTGGTCGTGGTCGAAGCTTAGGACCTTGATGGACGAGGCGGATGGCACTGCGTCTGCCGACCCTCCCCCCACCAGCCCCTCGTCTCCCTCGTGCTCCTGCTCCTCGCCATCGGCCGCCGCGTTGCCCTCGATCAAGGCCACCCAAATGCCACGGCACCAGCGCCTGGTGCCTCTGGTGAGGATGGTGTGCAGACGAGTGATGTTGCGGAACCGCTGCCCCCACTTGTAGGCTGTCTCGAGGGGCATCCTCTCCCACAGCTGCCGCACGCCGCCCTCGGCCGATCCGTCGATGGTGACGTGCGTGCAGTTGGCGGCCGCCCCGTTAAAGATGGTCTTGCCGAGGACGCGGCGACGACGGGTCAGCTCCCAGGGGTGAGTGAAGCCGAAGACGTTGGCAAGCTCGTCAGGAGAGAGACGAAGTCGGGCCTAGGAATTAGACACAGACAGACCGACACAGACAGATGTGATTGAGTGCACAGAGGTGGCGGGTCGTTCTTTTTGTGTCCTCACCGGCGGCTGGTTGGGTGGCGGTCGTCCCGATCGATGGACGAGTCGATATGACGGCTGCGGTGGGGCAGCGGCACTCAAATCGGAATCAGCTGCGGCCACCTGAGTGAGGCCGAAGGATGACAATGAACACAGAGACCGGTCTCCACCTCTTTTTTCCAACTCATTGTCAATGTGTATGCGTGTGTGTACCTCAGCGGGTGGGTCGGCGTCGTTGGTGTGCTGTGGGCCATCTAGCGCCACCGCCGCTGCGCTGAGGGCCTCGTCGAGTGCGAGTAAGGCGTTCAACTCGTCACCAGAAGGACCACTGCGGTCCTCTTGACGCGCATCACAACTCAGCTGCGACAGCAGGGGAAGGCGATTGCAGGTGTTTTGTTGGCTGCACTCTCTCAGTATGCTCACCTTGACCTTTTCCTGCAGCTGCCGGATCTCGTCACGCAGACGCAGCTGACGAACAGAACCATGCACAAAAACAAAGGGAACAGGAGAGGCTGTGTGTACCTCGCTCATGACCCATCGCCAGGTGAGATGGCCGGCTGCCGGACCCGATATCGCCATGCCGTCCTCCGATGCATCACAATCATCCTCCATCGCCGACAAGGCTACTAGATGAGTCAAGCTGCTCCCCGCTGATGGCCGGTCATTGCTGCCGCTCAAGCCTGGCGGCTGCTGAGATGCAATGAAACGATGAGTCAGCCTGGGTTCTGAAAACGGTGCCACAGCCAACAGAAATAAGCGAAGCAAACGACAAAATGAACACACCATTTGGTCATCTATATGATGCAGACGTGCGTGTGGTGCTGTGTACCTCTCACCTCATCAGAATGGCCTGTAGGCCCGCTCGACTCTGTGTCTGTGCCGCCTCCTTGTCTGCCTTTCAGCTCGACAACACAACAGTGGATCTATGGTGAGAATCTGACCACGTCAGCGCATGCAGATCAATCAACGCCTCACTCTTTCCTCTAGCTTTGGGAGAAAAACGCTGATGGGGGCTACAAAGCAGGGTTTCGGGTCAAGGGTTTCGCTTCAAGCTCGCAACGGGAGCAAACAATGGGCGGCTCAATAGTAAAGGAGCCAGAGTTCAGCAAGGTGAGTCTTGCGTACTGCTACATGAATCCGCAGGCCAAGTACCCCATCCACTTCGCCTGGCTGACCAAAAGGGAGCTGAGGCAGCTGGGCGTCTGTGTCAACGACGACAGTTCGCTGAGGGACAGAGAGGAGTTCCTGAGGCTGGTCGAGGAGATCGGCACCAAACACCACGGACCGGAGTCGGGATCTTACCTGGGCGAGTAAGAGAGAACAACGAGCGCTGCGTGCGGTTCTGTGATGTCGTCCCCTTCGGCAGGTACCCATTAACACACCTCCCTCGCCCAGACGATGCGCCAGACAACGCTAGGTATGTCAGTGTGATTGATCAGTCAGTCAGTCATGAGCTAGCCACCCACGTTCATCGACTGCTCTCCTCTCGGTCTCACTGCTGTTTCATGTGTGTAATCGGTCGGTCAGGCCCGGCCCGGCGGATGAAGGCGGCCAGCAGACCGATCAACGGACCGAGTCGACGAAGAGCGAGAGCCGTCAAGCCACACCCCCAGCTGGGAGCACGCAGGGGAATTACCCGGAGCTGGAGTGAGTGATGAAAGGGATGGGTAGCTGGCTGCATGCCGGGTGTCTTTTGGAAGCGCACTTTTATCGAGAGGGCTAGTTTATCTGTCATGTTTGCTTGTGTGCCTTCGAGCTCAACAGAGGATGCATGAAGAAGGTGCGCATTTAGGCCTATCCATAGTGATACGTGAACATGGGCCAGTGTTGTGCCCATGTCGGACACCACGGGCGGCCCTACAATTGCGTGTTGCTCAGAGTCTGCTGTGAGTATGTGAATGCACGAGTGCTGTGGTGTGAAGATCTCCTCGAATGAGGGAGGAGTGAATGAGTGAAGTGCATTGGGGCGTGGGAGGGAGTGTGCAGTGGATGGGCGTACAGACGAAGAGTGAGTGAGTGAAGGAGCGGTGCAGAGTGTGAGTGCGCCTCCGGCAGACACTGCACAAACACGCATGAGCGGGGACTTAACTTAAAAGACGGGCCAATCAGCCAGTGACCAGAAGGTGGTCTTCTCGTCATGTCACACGCACGCACACTCAATCGCTACGGCAAGTAGCCGTGCTGTCTGACAGACAATGCGCTTCGAGTAGAGGTTGTGTCTGTCTGCCTGCGCGCTCGATTGTCTGTCTATGCATGCCTCCTGCCCGCTCGCCTGTCTGTCTGTCTGCGCTTCGAGTAGAGGTTGTGTCAGATCTGCCGCGGAACCCGCCGCAGCCGGTGAGGGTGCGGCGACGGACGGCAGGCTGGGAGGGGCAGCAGACGGCCGGATGGGAGGAGCAGCAGCCGCGTCCACCGCCATCGCGGTCAGCCTGATCGACCGATCACACACATGAAACAGGCAGAAGAAGGCAACAGATCGGCCGTGAGACCGAGAGGAGAGTGACTGGCTCATGACTGACTGAGTGCATGTCATACCCAGAGGCTGCAGGAATCCCGCGGCAATACCCCTCGACCACCAACAGAACGACCCCACACACGGCGACCAGCAGGAATATCAGCGAAGCGATGGCATAGCAACGGGCCTCAATGGCCTCTTTTTCGCCCACCGCCCGGAACCAGAACACAGGAGAACCCCACGTGCCCGCGATGATCATGGTGAGGGCCACACACGCGACGTTAAAAAACTCCTGGAGACGACAGACAAGACAGAGGACCAGACAGGCAGATAGGGGAAATAGGCAGCGTGGCGTCTTCTGCTTACGGGGTAGGCTCCCCTTCTCATCTGAAACTCGGCGAAGACACCCGCATTCACCTTCATGGCGCCCTTCTTCCGATGGAGGCGCTCGGCGTCGTCACCGTCTTCAGGCAGGAAGCTCCCCAACAGCCTCACCTCTGCCACACACGCACACACACACACACACACACACAGGGTGTCTGGACGACAGCCTGCCCATGATGTTGGTACCTTGATGTGTCAGGAAGCGGACATCAGGGCACCGTTGTGGGGTCCATCCCTCTTGCTGAAACTGAGCTTCCAACCTGGCACGCAACTGACGTGAGCTGAGGTTGCCCATCAGATGAATGGTGTGAAACTTGCCGACCCTCAGGGTGTCGGGTCAAGGGTTTCTTTGTAAATGCGGTCAGTCCTGGTGGGTGGATGGGTTGGACGACCAGGGCCATTGTACTCTGCGAGCACGTCACTTTTTACAAGTGAAATCACAAACATGCACCACGGCAGCATCTGTCGGCAGACAGACGTCACACCCACGCACCCACGTACCCACGCGACTCGTCTGCCACCTCACTCATCGCCGCAGGAATGCAGGCTTGGCTTGCTCGACTCACTGGCCCCTCCCCGCGCTCTTGAGCAGCCTTTTGCCCCTCTCATTCAAGTAACCGTGCTTTCCGCCCCTGCCGCTCGCCATGATTCGCGCCACATCGTCAGGTCTCCGCCACTTGAGCATCAGCCGGGCGGCAGGGGGGCTGATGCGGGCCTCCTCGAGCGTTGCAGATGGGCGCAGCACATCTCTGCAGAGCGGCAGATGAAGGTCAAAGGATAGAGCGGCAGACGACATGCGGCGCGACACAAGCACCTGCACCACACACGACCAGATGTCTGTCTGCCGCGGTGCGTTTCCCTCCGTCGCTTGCTGACCTCCCTGATGACTTTGTGAAGGTCCTCAATCGTCTCGCGTACACTCGCGCGGAACTGCAGTGTGAGGCCGTCGGGCAGAGCGACGCGCACCACGATGAATGGATAGACCCGCTCGGCCCTCAGGCGCTCCAGCCGCCGGGCACCCTCAGTCATGAAGCCCTCACTCTCCGTCGCCCTCTGCTCCGCCACCAGCCGCCGCCATCGCCGCATCACGAGAGCCCGGACAGCTGCACTGTCTTCCTCACTGGCCGCCGTCACATTGCTATTGCCGCTTGTCGGTGCCGCAGTGTTGTTCCCATCGGTGGTGTTAGCTGCAGCTGGCGTCGGCTCCGCAGTGTCTGATGGTGCGGTGGGTAGCGAGTCGTCACGTAGCGGCAGGATGATGCGCAGCTGCCTGTCCTTCTTGACTTGAGTAGCACCTGCAGAGAGGACAGCATCTCTTCGAGCCTGCAGACAGACAGACAGACAGACAGACAGACGAGAGGAAAGATCTGTCGAAAAGACAACAAAGGGCGGTGCAGTGCTGACTGACCGTCAGCTGCCTGATCTCCTCCTCTATTGCGTGGAGCTTCGGCGTCCTTGACAGCGTCCCCTGCTCATCAGCACCACCTCCTCCAGTGCTGCATAGGTTGGTGCAGGGCGATGCAATCCTTTGTTGACGCTTCATGAAGCCGCATGGGGTAGCATCCCTCCTCTCCCTCATCCCAGAGCAACAGACAACCATCGTCACGAAGGCAGATCCACAAACGATGATTCTTGCTTGACACTTCTTGTCGGTGTCGGCAGCCGAACGCATCTGCAAGCCACTGTGAGGTGATCTCTCCACCCTTCGCTCTTTCGACAGAGGAGTTTCTCCTGGAGGCCGCCTAGGGTGCTCCCTGAAACCGCTGCTGCTTAGCTCGCACAGGGGTGGACACAACAAAGCGATGCGCAGCCTGTTGCGGCTGATGGCAAAGCCCAGCGCTGCCGCCAAAAGCGAAAACGAGCCGATTTTGAACCAATCTACCTGGGGAGACGGCCGAGCTGGCCATTCCGGCGGTCAGGCAGAGCCGAGCAGACAAGCGAAAGGCGCCGCGTCGAGTGCTGCTAACACCGCCATCGGTACGCCAAAAGATGGGGCTACTTGCCCGGCATCTATTTCTGTCACTGTGATTGCGTGTTTCAGCAATGCTGGCGTCCCAGAAGGCTGCAGATCTGACATCTCCCGCTGGTTCAGCGTCGACCGCATCATCTGCCAAGGCCAGCAGAGTTGTCCCGCCGATCTTTCCCTTCGCTCCGATCTTTCCCTTCAAACACCACGTCCTCCCCGCAGCGCCAGGAGGCGACACAGCACAGGGTACGACGGCGTCAGTCAGGCCGACATCGTCTCACCTTGTGTCATTTGGCTAATTGCTGTCTGTGATCCTCACCGCACAGACGACGCTGCCGCTGCCGCTGCCGCCGATGCTGCCGGCATTTGGGCCAGGGAGATGATCAGGGAACTCTCCCTCGCCGAGACCAACAGCGAAAAAGGAGACGTCGGCATCACCGTCAGGCGTCACCGAAGCGGCAAGGCCGTCAAGTTCGTCGTGGGCGAGCAGAACTTCGTCATCGAGGGCAGCACGAAGGCGGCCGTTGATGCGGCCTTCCAGGAAGCCAAGGCCTGTCGGGATATCCTGCGTTGTGCGGGCCAGGCAGGCCAGGGCGGCGAAGCCGAAGCCGAAGCCGCCGCACCAGTTCTCCACCCCATCCCCAACCAGCCCCCCGCACCCCTGGCTGTGGACGCCCTCCCCATCCTTCACCAGCCCCCCGCACCAGACAGCGACACGGCAAGCGACCCCCACGAGGCCAGCCTGCGCGCTGCCTACCTCGCCAAATGTGACCCGCAGTCCACAACGTACTGTCCCGTCTACGAGGGGCTGGCGGACAGGGCGACATTTGAGCGCAGGCCACACACCTGCGCCAACTCAGGTGTGAGCTTTGACGTCATCGTGCGGCCGCTGCCTGTCGGTGAGGGGAGCCAGCCGGAGCCGGAGCCCATCCGGGTGGCCGTGACGAAGTTGGGATTGAAGGGGTGGTCACTGTTCAACCTGACGAAGGTCCTTCGCAAGAGGATGGCCGCCCTGGCACCCACGCCAAAGCCCAAGCCCAAGGGGCGACCAAAGAAGGTCATCACCAAGAGGGGCCGGCCGCCGCGCAGACGGCAGAATGAGGAGGCCATGACCGGCGAGGGAGTTGGTGCTCAAGAGGAGGAGCCGGCCTCAGGTGGGCTCCGAAACGACGAGGAAGGTCCCTTCTGCTCTTGCTTCACTATGTACATGTGCCCGTATGTGTGGTGAATGGCGTCGATTTGTTCAGGTGGTTCGTCGTCTGCTCATCAGTCGCCAGTGGCTGCCTCGCCGTTTCCCGCACTGTGCGGCGCGGGGGAGGGAGAGGGAGAGGGCAACGGCGACGTACACATGATGGCAGCCGGTGTGCGGGCACCGGAGGCAGCAATGGTTTTCGATGTCGACCGCTCCCCCTCACCCCCACCGCAACCCATTGAGCAGCACCAGCAGCACCAGCAGCACCAGCAGCACCAGCAGCAGCAGAGCGGTGCCAAGAGGGCGGCCGAGGCAGATGAGTGGGCCGCAGAGGAGGAGCCTGAGCCCAAGAAACCTCGCGCGTCAGGTACCACGAAGATGGACGCTTGGGTGAGCCATTTCTGTGTCATGATGGCTACCATGTCCACACCTGCAGGTGCCCCGGCAGGATCGCCTGGTGGCCAGGAGGCGGCATCATCGGCTGCTGCCGCTGCTGCGGCGGCGGCGGGGGGCGGGGGGGAGAGAGACGAAGGAGGCCCAACAAAGGGGATCGAGCAGCTGAGTGAGGACGACGTGTTCCGCGTGTTTCAGCTGCACGACTCGCAGAAGATGCGCGACCTCGCCCCCATCATGAAACAGGTGAGGGACGGAGGGAGGGAGGGAGTGCTGGCGTGTGCACACATCACTCATCGCTGTCTGCTGTCCAGCACGTGATTGATGGCTTTGACCTGGTCGACATTGGCCATCTGGAGAGGGACGAGATGCACAGGGACATGGAGCGGCTGGGCATCACCGCGTACGGCCAGCAGCTGGCACTCAAACGCTGGATCGCTAACGCAACCAAAGAAGGGGTGAGCGACACAGACAGACAGACAGACAGGCAGACAGACGTGTGGCATCCCATCGTTGGCTGTCTCCTCAGGTGCGGGTGTAGATGTGGCGGAGTGGCCCGCCAATGCAGCGGCAAGCCGCGGGAGTTCTCACGAATTAGTCGACTGGTGTTAGGTGTTACGTACATTGGGAGAGGGGCTGGATTCGGCCGCTAATTAGTAGCTCAGCAGGTGTGTGGTGACGTGCTCTCCTCGTTCGTGCCTGCTCCTGTGTGTCTGCGTGTCTCGTGTCTTGTCTTGCTGCCTGGGTCGGTCGTTCTGCTGTAATTCGGTGCCTGCCTGCCTGTCTGTCTGTCTGCCTCTCTGTCTGTCTGTCTGTCTCTCTGTCTGTCTGTCTCTCTGTCTGTCTGTCTGTCTGTCTGTCTGATGCCTTCGTGTACCTGTGAGCATCCATCACTGACTGGCTGCTCTCATCGGTGACATATGTAGCTATATCCTTCCTTTATGTGCCGCCATGTAATTATGCGATGTACCTATGTGATGTATACAGTCAGTTGCCAGAGGTGAAAGTGAGGAGCTGCAGGCCAATGCGGCCTGAGGGGGTGGACTGGGTGGAGGGATGGGGCATGTCTCTCTGTCTCTGTCTATGTGTGGGTCCGTCCGTCGGCTGTGCGGTGGTGCCCTTAGACGTTCTGGAAGGTCGATTGAAACGACAGCCAACCAATTCGACTGAGATGGTAGATGTGACGTGGCTCAAGAGACTGACAAATCGCGCTCATGAATGCTGGTGGACAATTAACGCAAGAGCTTACAGTGGTCCATCGGTCTGTCCACGGCACTGATACGGTAGAGACGAGTGTTCTCACTTCTCAGTAGAGACGGCACACACAGAAGGTCACACACACGGTCATCCAGACAGACAGGCCGGCAGCATCTCACCCACCGACGCCAGGCCGCATTGGCCTGCAGGCGGTCTTACATAGCCACACCCACACCCATACACACCCTCACCCACACAGCACTCTCGTACACACGCTCAGCTACGGTCCACACAGATGACAAGCTAGCTTGAGCCGCAAATTACATACACGCGACGGCAGAAACGAGAGAAAAAGACCGAGACAGACTGGCGGGGCGGGGCGGGTGGATGAGTGTGTCAGGTAGCCGGGAGGAAGGTTTCAGTTGTCTGAACTGAACGACAGAGACCCGCCTCTCGATTACCTACACGACACATCCACCCTCCGCACCGGACCGCACCGCACGGCAGGAAAAAGACGCCACACTCGAAAAAAGGAGGCGGATTGCCACAGGCCGCCCCCACTCACTTCAACAAACACACGCAACGCGCTCATGAATTACCGACCATCCATCGAACCCGCCATGCCGTCTACATCTCGCTGCTGGCCTCCTGGCCGGCTCCCTCGTCCGCTGCGTGCAGGGGGTCCTTTTCGGCCACCTCGACCTTCTCGATGACAGGCACATGGCCCATCGGGGGGATGTCCTCGTTGGTGGCGAACTTTGGCGGCTGGAAGAGCTCGCCGCTGTAGTAGGACATGAAGAAGTAGATGGACCCACCTGATTGAGATTGACACACACAGAGGGACAGGAGAAGACCACACACCGGTGAGGGTCTGCTCATGTCTGGTTGGTTGAGTGGGTGAGTGTCGCACCTATGATGGCCAGCAGCAGAAGCAGCAGCATGTAGGGGCCAATCGAACCGAACGCCTGACTGCACACGCCGCACACCACACACCACACACATACACAGCACCTTTCCTTCAGAGCGTTGTGTATTCGCTGTATCCACTCACCGGTCAGCTTTGGTGACGATGTTCTCTTTCGCCCTCTCCTTGGCCGTCGACTTGCGGTTCGTGTCAGCCACCTTGTTGCCGAACGAGCCGGTCCTCTCTCGATGTCGCTGCAGGGACCACACACAACACCACACGAACAAACAACAGATAGAACCAATGCTGCGCTGTGGCAGGGCAGCTGCCTGCCCTGTGACCTGTCAGATCTGCCCTTCTGTGTGTTGGGTGTGCGGGTGCACTGCTGACCTCCCTCATGGAATCGCGCGAGGCGCTGTTCTTGGGAGACTTCATGACTGGTGCCGTGTGGGTGGGGTTGGGATTCGTGTACTGGTCACGAAGCAGTGTCATACGATGCCTGCAACTCCTCAGATCTTGCGCCTTCCAATAGCGAAGCTCGCAGGGAGAGGCGGCACAGAGATCTCCGCTTTTTGGTGGCTTGCACACTCTCTGTGAGTAGTCTACTACAAGGGATTTCCGAGCTCGCTAAAAAGCTCGCTCAAAAATCCCTTGTATGGGATTTTTGGGGTTAAAGGGTTTTGAACCCAGAAGGGATTTTTGAGCGATTAAAGCAAGCATCAGAGACCCTCTGTTCAGACTCTGTGTATATATTAATGTGTGTCATTTGCTGTAAGAATGAATGGATGAGTGACATAGGTTCGTAGGTAGGGGTTTAAGTAAGCTTTGACGATCGTCGTACGCATCAGTTCGCCCCTCCCTCCCTCCCTTACGCATTAGGCACGCATCGGACAGACAGACAGACAGACAGGCAGACAAGCAGTTGGCAGGCAGGCAGATTCACAGCTAGTCAGTGAGTCGGTCAACAGACAGATGGACGGACGAATGAACAGACAGGCAAGCAGACAGGTAAGCACGACACACGTCCGCCGAGACAGGCAGGTACGACACGCAGGCACGACACACACGCACTTCAAAGCCCGAAAAAGAGCCACTCACGTATCAGTCCCTCACGCAGATTCAAAGCCCTCGCTTGGTACGTACGTGCGAGAAAAGCGACACACACAGGCAGGCAGGCAGGCAGGCAGGCACGACACACCCAGGCAGACAATCCATCCCTCTTTTTCCTACAGGCAGGCACGCAAACGACGCACCGCCACACGCATGCATCTACGCATCAGTCCGCCTCTCCTTTACGCATCGCCACTCACACACGCACCAGTCCGTCCCTCCCTCCACTACACACAGGCAAGCAGGCATCATCTACACATTGCCTCGCTCCTCCTCCTCACCCGCATCGCCCCCCTCTTCCTCGTCGTCACCAATATACAAATCAGACCACAGCCTCAGGCCAGTCAGGCGATTTGTATCCTCGAACTGACCTACTTCTGCGAAAAACTCACTGATCCGCAAAATCGTGACCACGTGCCAATCGTCGTCACGAAGCTCGCCCTCTGTCATTGGATGCTCTCCCCTCATCAGGAACGCATCGCCTTGAAACGTGAGGTCGAACTGGATTGAGTCCTCCCTCCAATTGATGCCTGACTATCGGTTCGACAGCTACGTCAACACATCCAACTTCATCAACGTGTTCATATTCCCCGGTCGGCAACCATGTGACACACAGCGATGGAGGGTGATCAGTGTGTTGTCTGTGTGTATCAATCAGGGGGCATTTTGCCGTCGCAGATGGCCATTCTTCAGGCGGTATGTAGGCCGTGCATGCATTCATGAATCACACAGTGATATGGTCGTATTGCTGATGGTGTGGTGCTATGCATTTAGGTCAAGAAGAAGGCTCCCACGCTCGTTCTCGTTGGGTGGGCAGCTCACTCTTGCCACACAGACATAACACACCTCACGTGGTGTCTGTGTGCATGCATGCATTCATGCAGTGTTGACGAGATAGGTCAGAGCAGCTACGGCAACACTCTCAGGGCATGGCGAAACAACTTCGAAGCAAAAGTATGCACACACACACACACACACACACACACCCCGATGGATGCAGGCATATGTGTGTATTGCGTCTTGCCTACAGTCGGATGAGATATGTCTGCATGCGCCTGGTTTTGATGGCAGCTTCCGCCGCATTTGGAACTTCTACCTCGCCTGCTGTGCAGTCGGTGAGACCGGAGGACCGATACAGACCCCCCAATACATGCCAATGGATGTACGTAAGTATGTGTGCATGACATAATGGCAGGTTTTGACACGTCGTTGATCCTCAACTGTCACCTGACATTCGAGAAGCGACTCGGCCCGCAGGCTGGCAGCATACGTGGAGCTCCATTACAGAAGTAGATGTGTATGAGTGGCTGCATGGATCTATGCAGTTTTGAGGCACGTCCATGTGCACATCCATGAATGATCGAGTGTCAGTCTTGCCTTTATCAAGTCACACACAGCAGTTTTGGCTTGCTGAGTTCTGCCGATGGATCTGGGCTACAGGGTGTGTATGTATGCCATGTTGGAGCGGCGAGGGAGGCGCATACATGGATGCATGCATATGTTGACAGATTCATATATATACGCATTTATCAAGTGTAGAAGTCAGGGATGCTTTGTCGGCATGGCCAGGGTCACGTCTGTCGAAACTGAGAACATAGTCTATCAATCCAATCATGTGCTCGCGGGTCATGCATAGCATTCCATAGTAGGTCCGCATCCATAAATGCATGCGAAGCTCTGATGCACGTATGCGCTCATCAATCGATGGAAGTCTTATCTCGCCCACACATGCGCCCAACCGTATCTACGGCTGGCTCAAAACATCCAACAAACGTCCTCACCTCACTGCAAACTATACTGTGACAGCGGCGCAGAAAAAGAGGAAACAACGGCACACACTGCGCACGGAAAAATCGCCCTCACTGTACGGCAGCAGAAAGCTTCATGTGCTGCATGCACACATACATCCATGCATCCATCCATTATGAGCCCAACATTCCTCGATTCCCTGTTGTCTATGCGGCATCCGACTTGCCGGCCGTGCTCTTGGCCTGTTTGAGGCACCGCACGTTTTCCATGGCCATCTCCACCGTGTCACCGACGCTGAAGAAGCCATGGCCCTTGCGGATGTACACGCGATAGTCTGGGTAGGGGAAGGCATCCATCAGCTCTTGCAGCGCGTGGAGGTCCTCCGGCGTCGAGAACAAAGTCAGCTCCTTCGAGATGGGCAAGCCGTTGAGCTGTGCATCCTCTTCGGTGCTAAACATGTGCCCATGGATGGCCACCTGTGGCTGCTGGCGGCCCTCTCGAGGCATGAGCGCCGCATAGTGCAGCGGCGTGTCGCTCGTCGGCTTCTCGCCGCAAACACTCCAGTAGTCCACCTTCCACTGAGTGCGGTCAAACCCAACCGCGACGACGAAGTCCCCGTCAGCGATGCTTGGTCGGCGGTTGGGAGCCTTCCCCGACTTGGTCACCTGCAAACATCGCTCACCCATCAAGCTGAATGGCATAGATCTGAATGAAGTGCAGTCAGTGGTCACTCACTCACCACGAGAAGGGGAGCGTGCTGCCGTTGCGTGTCGGGCAGTTGGTCTTTGGTGAGGATGAATGCCGCGTTGCCACCCACCAGCCCGTCGTACATGACGGGCGTCGCTCCGAGCGCCTCCAGCTCCACAATGGCGTCAGAGACCTTCCCAGCGAGAGCGATAAAGGCGGGGCTGTTGAGGAGGTCCTCTGGGATGGCGCCGACCCGCTCCGTCTTGAACTTGATGCGCTCTTGCGACAGCATCTCTCTCGACTTGATTGATGAACAGGGCCCATGCATCGTTGGGTCTTGGGGCAGCTCAAAGTTTTGGGTCGCAAAGCTTTTCTTGGCGTTCTATCCGACCGTGAGTGCACACTAAGGAAAGTAAGCAGAGCACAGAGTGTCGCCGGCACTCATAAGCTCGCATGGCGAGAATTCGTAAACAGAGACGGAGGCAGGGTTTTTTCTCTGTCTCTTTCTGTTCCATTTAACATTCGACGGCTTCACCATCGACGTCGCGGTCCGCTGCATCTCGAGCCACACACCGATGCCGCCACACGTGGCCCCAGCCCCTACTCACACACTCTGGCCGCATTATTGGCGTCCAATCTCTTCGACTAGTATGCATAATGGTCGGCGTGGTGTGAGTGTCGCTGCCAAGCCAAGAAGTCCACTCAGGGCGTCCGGCCGGGAGCATTCACCTGCATCATCTCGTCGCTCGGGTAAGTCAACACGTGTATGTATGTATGTGCGTGTGTCTGTGTGTGTATGTGTGTGTGTGTGTGTGTGTGAATTGATTAGGTGTTTCATCGCCTCGGTCACCATTCAGCCCATCCAGCCCATTCACCCCCTCGCACCCACGACCATCCCCCTCAACATACCCATGCGACGTGGGTTCACCATAAACCCGTCCAACCCCCGCCCCCCTCCCACCATGAACTCGCCCACCCCTCATCCCCTCCCACACCCAAAACTGCACCTCCTCGCATCATCGATGTAGATGCGCTCGCCGAGAACGTCAGCCAGTTGCAGCTCAGCCAGCAGCGTCAGGCATGGCCGTCAATCAGCTCGCTGTCGGTCAGCAATTGACGAACCAGCGGTTGGCCGAGATTGCCGCTAGTCAGCAGCAGCTAATGCGAGCATTGCAGCAGCTGGTGGGAGGAGTGGGAGTAGGAGCGGGACACCTGATGGGATTGGGAGGGTTGGGAGGGATTGGGATGGGAGGGATGGGAGGGATGGGGGGAGGTGAGATGGTGAGAAGCCCTGTGAGAAGGGACAGGGGAGGGGAGGTAGTAGGCAGCCCGTTTGCACAGATTAGAGGAGGGCATATAGGCAGCATGCAGTCGCAGCAGTTTGGTGATGATGATGAGGGTGATGAAGGCGGATCTACACACACTCAGCGCAGTCAGCAGTAGATGGAGTGTGTGTATATAGGTGCTCTCCCCTCTACATATGTGAGGCACTCATATATATTCAGTGGCGTTTTGCCACTGCGTGCTAGTGTTCTTACATGCGTACGTTTAGACAAATTTGTTTGAGTGGTGTATTGCGTACGTGCATGCATTCTGTGTGCGTGTGCGTGCGAACTCGTTTATTGTCTTTGAATGCGTATCGATGTATATCTGTTTGTCCGTCCATTAAAGCCTAGATGTTCCACACACCTACCCACTAAACACATCATTCATTTATCAACACACGCACGCACGCAACCTCCCTCCCCTTTCCCTTCTCCCTTCTGCACACTACTGCATACTATATGGCGCCCTCATTAGTTAAGGTTCATCTGCTGGGCTTCGTCGCTATTGTTGTGGTATTCGTCCACCAACTGCTTCATCGTCTTGTTCTCGCACAGGTTCTTGGTAGCGTTGAACATACTAATAGTTTGCAACTCTGACAGACAGACACACATAGCGCACGTCACATATACATACATACGACAAGAGGTTTACACGCATATACCTGAACTAACTTGACCTTGACGCAATTGAGGCATACAAAGTTGTTCTCGCTTATCATTCCCATCGCCTTCATCTTGTTCAGTATCATCTGCACCATCTCATTGTCATGGTTGAGATGGGCGTTACTGTGGGTCTTGCACACTGCCTTCAAACACGAGTGGCACGCCTTGCACCGACCCGTCTCAATCGTCCACGCCATTACAGCGGGAACTCTACCGACAAGCGAAATTGGCAGATGCGATGCAAGAAACTACAAGAATCAAGCCTGAAAGGGGTTGCGAGCTACATGACAACCTCATCCATAATAACGAGGCATTCTCTGCGATACCTGCCACCATAGTTCAGTAGAAGAAGAGGAAACAATGCAGTGTATCGGTCAGACGTTCAAACCTCGGTGCGGATGGGTATACAGAACTTTATGAGCCGAAAAAACAGACGGCTGGGCCTGCTAACGGTTGGTCTCAAAGAGAGACTGAACGGGGCTTGGTGATAATGGCTGTGGCTCTGAAAGGAGAGTGATGGAAATAGACTGTTCAAAAATCAAAACGAAAGCAAAAGAAAAAAAACAGCGAAAGAACTGAATGCAAAAGGGAAGGCAATGAAAGGGTAATGAGGGTGAGTTGGAAAAAGAAAGAGAAGTGACTGGAAAAGGGTTGGCAATGCAAATAGCAAATGTACAGATGGTGGCAGGGCAGGTGAAAAACGATGGATACTGCTACGATATATAGCAATAAATATTAAAATTTAGTTTTTTACTTTTGGTATGCCCCATTTTTGAAGATTACAATATACAATATTAATCTTATCTTCTTTTTTCATTGCTCTGTTATTAAGAAAAATGAATTAATAATTATCTGTCAAATCATCAAAATGACCAGCAAAATTCTTTTTAACAATTTAGCCACTCCACAATTCATTGTATAAAGTCTTAATATTTGCGATACCCACCATCTTGCCAATGAGCAAAAAACTGAATTACTCCGTATGGCGACGTCAATTTTGCGGATGCTTTGAGCAATGACGACGACTGTTGTATTCAGGTGTCGTAAGGTGGTGGTCAGTTTAAGAAACTGTGGATCTCTTGTATTAATATTTGAGCCGAGTATGTTATCGAAAATTAGCAATACTCTGTCGTTTTTTTCTTTTTTTGATAATCAAACAAACGATTTAACTGTTCGAAAGTAAAATCATCATATTAAGCACGTTTTTTAACTCCAATTTTCGTCCAAAACTGTGTATGTATCGTAGGGGAAACGATAATCTCATTATCAAAGGTGTTTTTGGCTTTGAGATATTTATATAATGCTCCAATTAATGAGCTTTTGCCTCCGCAGATTTTTGCATAAACCACGATTAAGCAGGGCGTGCTTTTACTGATAGTTTGGACTATTTGTTCGCATTCAATTGCTTGATTATTGTTTTCTGCATTATTATCATCATTAGACATAACATAGTAATTAATGAATTATGTATATATATAAAATAAATTTTCTTCGTTAATCTTCGTCTTCTTCACTTGCTCTAAATTGATGCGTAAATATGTGCAGTGCTTTCAGGAGTTTCAATTTCCGCTTCACTTTTGGTTCTCTTCAAATGCACATTTTGGTTAAAAATACTTACTCGTTCGGGAATAGTCACTGATGGGATTTGTGCTTGTCTTTTTAGCTCCCTTTCTCTATCCGTGACCCGCTTTATCAGTCCTTTTCTACCACTTTGTCTCTGTTCTTCTATGTAAGGTGAAGTTCGTGATTGTCCTCGCTGTTTTCGAATAGGTTTGTAAGTATCTGATATTAATGGAATATTCATAGGTTTATTTTCTGGTATTGTTGGTTGATGATAATAAGGTTGTGCTTTTGTTTTCGCTTTTCCTCTCGCTTTCGCCTTGGGTGTTGGTCTTGGTGGCTTAATAATTATATTCGGAGGTGAGCTATCATCATCACCGTAATTATATATTCGTTCTTGTGGTGTGCGTTCTTGTGGCGTTTCTGGTTCTTCAATAGTATATGGTAAGTTAGCATATTGCGAACGTGTTCTTGCACTTTCTCTTGGTCTTACACCGACCCTTTCTCTTTGTCCTACTCCACTCTGCTGTTGTCCTTGTGGGGGACGATAAGTTTCTCTTTCCGAGCTAAATTCTCTACGTGCAGATGAATTAAATGCTGGGCGTGCAGTAGGAATTGTGCGTGGCATGTATCCTTGCTCTCTTGTATTACGCCCTTTTGTGGTTTCAATGCGTGGTGGTTGAGGTGATAGTGTGCGTTCTGGTCTGCTTGTTGGTTGCGGTTGAGGTGAAGCAGGTGACTGTGGCGGTTCAATTTTAGGATATAATTGTGTGCTTGTATCTCTTCTGGGCAAAGGAATTGCTGGCGATGGAGGTGATGGTAGGTCTGGATAATGAGGTTCAGAAATTGCTGACTGAAATGATGAAGAACGAGCAGAAGCGGGTGTTTCTGCTTCTGGCGATTGCTGTGGTTCAACATATTCGTGAGCAGGCGGAGGTTTTGCTTTCAAAAGAAGTTCAGGTCGAGCACCACGGTCAGGCATCTTGTTTTCTCCTGGTTTAATATAGCTGTCTTTCACGTCAAAAAACATATATTCGTTTGCTTTCTTTTTGCTTTTTAATATTTTACTCATTATTGTTTCAAGTTTTGGATTTTCTTTGTTAGAGTAAATAATAGAGTTCTTATGTAACTTATTACTCTTAATGTTATCTTCAAGATTAGGTATGTCATCATCATTATTAATTAATATTCCTTTCACATTGTCATACTCTTTATTATTCCAATTAAGTTTGTATCCTTCGGGCAAAGAAAAAATAATTTGATTGTTCTGCAATTTCAGTGTTTCACTGTAAATATCACTCTCATTAGTCAGGAATTTAGGCAAGTTTTCTTTTTACTTCTTCATTTTCTGACGCTTGCTTTTCGTCTTTGACTTCCTGTGCTTCAATCTTTATAGCAGTGTCTTCATTATTATTTTTACTTTTTTGCGTTTTAGCATAATTAATTAAGAATGCTAATCCTTTAAGATAACGACGCTTTTGTTCATCATCGTATTTAAATGTCATTGACTTGCTTTTTAAATTCATCCATAGTCTATCAGTATATGTATGTAAGTATATTATTATTTACGGCGTTGGTTCATCAGAGCCTGACTTGTTTTTAAACCTTGGTCGTCATAAATTTGACGTTGAGTTCGCAAAGCTAATGAAGTCAGTTTATCTGGCAACAACTCCTCATAAATCATTAGTTCAGTCTGTTTCATCGGACGCACGACATGTTCGGACATAGCAATGGCTTCTGATTCAGTGTATCCCAATCGTAAAAACTTGTTAATATATGCAGTTTTTTGGTTCTTAATTTGAGTCCGAATTTTGATTAATTCTTTCAATTTATTTCTTAAATATTGTTCAGGAGCAGTTACTGATTGAATATAGTTGTTTAAATTTTTTTTGATTGTGAAACATTAACGCATAACGCGATGGCGAGAGACGTCGTCTCTGTCAGTCCATCATAAATGTACACCCAGACAAATCAATTAGTCAGTCAGCGATAAACATACCAGCCCCATCCGCTGCACCAGCCGAGCGCACCACTCAGTGTCACCGGCCGCTACTCGCATACCAACTCACACCACGCGCCAATGCAATAGACAGACGAGCACGCACCCATCCCATCACTTGCGCATACGACTTGTCACGCTATGCAGTCTTAGTACGTATCGCTTTTACCATCCGACGAAAGAACGTCTTCGCCTCTCTCCCCCACACTCTATCCACGGTGACGCACAGCGGGGTGAAGTAGATAGATCGGTCCTCGCAGACGCACCTATGGCGAGCCTAAACCCTTAACCTTGATAAATACATAAATTACTAACATTATTACTACTACGGAACCATCTAATAATGCCAATGATTAATATTCCTTCAATTAGACACCATATCAAATTATAATAGTAACTTTCTGTTTTTGTCTTATCATTATCATTAAATAGTGCTTTCAACATATCATCTATTGTATCATCAGGTATATTAATTGTAAGCTTTGGTATATCATCCATTAATTATTGGTATATATTCTTACTATAAACTGATTAAAAAAAAAATTATAAAAGTCATACATATATAATGCTAAAAATCAGAAAAAAAGATGATCCACGACTCTATAATAGAATAGTACAACGAGCTAGAAATGAGAAAGTTAAAAATTACAACATTTTACAGAATAAGTACAATCAGTTAATGGATGAAATGAAAGAAAAAAAATATAAAATTGACAAAGATCTAGAAAAGAACTACAAACAACTTACGGCAGAATACATAGAATTAGTGAATAAATACAATAATTTAGTTGAAAAGATAAAGACAATATATGATAAAGAAATTAATAAGAGGTAGCTGTTGACATTTTTCCTTTGTAACTGGTTTCAATCCTAGTTATAACGTATTATTTGTTTATATATATCTTCTCGGGAAGAGTCATTATCATCATCATTGCAAATGACCGAGTCTACAGAGTACACAAAATTTATGCATGTGCCATACTTGTAGTTGACATAGTCAGTGCAGAGGTATTTCTCACTTCGCCAGTCACAGCTTTAGCTGCATGTGGATAGCGCAGGCTACTCCTTCGTATTGTATACGCTCTTTCGCATTGTATGCACAATATGAAGGCCCGCTGGTATCTCGCAGAGAAAGGGGTAATGGAGGAGATTGAATGTAGTCTGACACATGCTTCTTTATCCAAAAAAAAGGAAAAACCATCGAGAAATCGCCTAATTAATGAAATCAAACTGATGCCTGAACCCTAAATTTATATTATTGACTTACCAAAAAAAAATATTATACTTGTATTATCATTAATACTAGCATTGTCGCCTGTAAAACTTTAAGTTAGGACAGGAAATGGTTGAATATAATTAAAATTTCCTCCTGAAATCATCTTATGTCTTTTTAGAATATTTTATCCTGAAAGAGAAAATTATTTGCACTTATCCATTTTTTTTGACATAGTTAATTAGTTATACAGTCTTTGCTATAATGGTTCAAATTAAATAAATGTTTTATACACATATATACTATAACACAATAATCAATAAAATGACTGACATAAGTATTAGTAATCTTCGTAATAATATTCAAAAATTGATAGGTAAAAAGTTGGAGACAGATGATAAAATATTTGAGCTTTTAAAAGAAAT